ACTCTCCCTAGTTGCCCATTGGAGTTGGCTGAAGTCAAGATGTTAGATAATCTTCCATGCAGGAATTCATGGTTCTGGGCATGTTAACGGGTCTTCAGGAAGCCATGCAAGGACCAAGCTATAACTAGTAGGAAAACAATTCCCTTCATTGACTGTCTCTCCACAAACCCTCCATCCCACTGCAACTGAAAAGGAAGAAAGGAAGGAGGGAGGAAAAGAAACAAGGAAAGACAAAGATGGAAGGAAAATAGAAAAACAAATCCATTCCAGCTATTGGACAGTCTACTACATCTGGGGCCGCCATCCCTAATCAGGTACTAAACCATCCCTAATTGGTTTCTGGAGCATATCATGTTGATTCTTGGTTGTCTTAGTTTTTAGCTGGAATAGACTTTCTGCAACCAATAAATATGTCCCTATAGGTTTCTGTTTTTAACTGCTGAAGTGCAGTCTGCCTTTCAACTATGTCAACCCCCATAGCAAAGCTGTTTACGACACAAAACAACACATCAATTCATCTCTGCAGCTCAGAGTTAATATCCTGGTCCTCTTGAGATTTTTACACCCAATCAGATTGTTTTTGTCACTTTTATTGTGAGCTACTGTTTTCGTTTCACTGGGTTGTTAATTAGGCTCTTTTCATGAAAATGAGTTCTTTCTTTATAAAAGTCTGCCTCTTGTGAACAGCATCCTCCTAGGACCAAAAAGGAAAGGGGGCTCAGGAAGAGCAAACAAAGCTAAAGCTGGGCATGAGGTCTTTCTGCTTAGTTCAGTTTAGTTTGGTTTGGTTTTGCTCTGGCTTTGAAAATGGAGTAGTACCAAAAATTTGACTGAAGCCTGGCATGGTGGCACATGCCTTTAATTCCAGCACTCGAGAGGCAGAGGCAGGCCGATCTCTTTGAGTTCAAAGCCAGCCTGGTCTACATAGTGAGTTCCAGGACAGCTGGGGCTACGGGGACCCTGTCTCAAAAAGACCAAAAAAAAAAAAATTTGATTGTATTATTTTTGCTTAAATGTGAACAAGAGATAAATCATAATTTTAACTTATTCCTGTATCATATAAGATATTGTCTATTCCAAGAAGCCCAGTATTGATTCATAAAGGACTTCAAAGAAGGCTGTTCATAAGTGTTAGGATTTTGTTAGTAATTCTTACTATTTGAAGATATTTAAAAGGCAGTTACTGTCTAGTGGTTTTTGTTGTTTTGTTCTGTTTTTATTGCCTTCCTAGTACTTTTATTTGAAAGACACTGAAATTCACTCTGTCTTTCTCATGATTCTTTGTTTGAAATTATGTTTCACACAATTATAGTGATCCCTGACCTTTGCTTCCAAAAGGATGGAATAGCCAGCTTCAGTGTCCCATGTCTTTAATCTCAGAACTCAGGAAGGAGAAGCAGGATGATCTCTGTGACTTCTAGGTCAGCCTGGTCTACATAGCAAGTACCAAAGCAGCCAGGGATACATAGTGAGTAAGACCTGTCTCAAACAAACAAAACACTAGAAAATATCATTAATTTGGGGATGGAGAGACGGCTCAGGGGTTAAGAGCACTGACTGCTCTTGCAGAGGACCCAGGTTCTATTCCCAGCACCCATATGGCAGCTAACAACCGTCCTTAACTCCAGTTCCAGGGGATCTGACACCTTCTTCTGATTTCCACAGGCATTGCATGAAACAGATGCACTTACATACATGCAGGCAATATACTCATACACATAAAATAAAAATAACAAATATTTTTAAAAAGAAAATATCATTAATCAAATGCATTTCATATATCCAATCATCAGAGCAGCTATTAACATTTTAAGATGATTGTAGTACACATCATTAGCTTAAGAAAAGTCCGAATTCAAAATCTGAAGTTCAGTTTCCACTGACTATGTATCACTTCTTAAAGTTGAAATAGCTATTATAAGACAATAAGACAACTAAGAGAGGTAGTATACTAATATAAGAGAGGAAGGCATACTGGCCAGGGACTTTAGAACCCAAAGAGGAACACAATGACAAAGTCCCATGGTCTTTTATGAGCCTGATATAGCCCAGACTGAGAGTTGGAGAAATCAAAAATCTGAAAATACCAAGAGGCATAGACCAAAAATGCTTAATAAAATTCTCCTTTGTGGGGCTGGAGAGATAGCTTGGTGGTTAAGAACACTGGCTGTTCTTGCAGAAGACCCAGGTTCAAATCCCAGCACCCACGTGACAGCTAACAGCTGTCAGTAACTCCAGTACCAGGGAATCCAACAGCCCCTTCTGTCCTCCAGGGGCATTGCACAACAAGGGTACACTTACCTACATGCAGACAATACACGCATACACATAAAATAAAAATAATAAAATGTTAAAAAAAAAAAAAAAAAAGCTTCTTTGTAAAACCAAAGGATGAACAACAGGCATCCTAGCAAGATAGTGTTAGGACTGAGTCAGATGTGGTGGTACACGCCTTTAATCCCAGCACTCAGGAGGCAGAGATAGGTGGATCTCTGTGAGTTCAAGGCCAGCCTGGTCTACATAGTTCCAGGCCAAATGGGACTACAGGGAGACCCTGTCTCAAAAAGACCAAAAAAAAAAAAAAGGTGTGGGGGGGTATGTTAGAAGACAGGTCACCACCCATCTGTAGACAAACACCCCCCACCCCCCAAGCAAAGGCCAAGTAGGAATTCTAGGCTTCCACGTGCTCCAGTCTGTGGTGAGATACCCAAATATCCTAACACTCCAGTTCCCCTCATCCTGTCTGAGGTTTGGGGAGCTCTATCCTCAATGCTGGGCAGCAACAAGGTTCTTTCTATAGGTACATGCTTTTTCACACCTTACAGTAATAAGGCCCATCTGCCTGACTCTGCTAGGATGGTGTCAAAGAGACCTGGTAGACTCAGGACTTTCACCACTGTCCAGTAATGAGGAGGGCATGTCGGGAGCAGTTAAAGAGGTGTTCCAGCATATACGGGTGAGGGAGTACAGGGGAAGGTTAATGGTGAGCTAAGATCAGACCAACTATAGCAGCATAGCAATTTTTTAAAAAGGAATAAAAAGAAATAAAAGGAAAAGATTACTGAGCTCAACAGGAGAATGGAGGAAATCAGTGACTGGAAGGCAGAACAATCTAGACAGAGAATGCCCTGGAGGTGAGAACAGAGGGCATAGACTAGAAACTTATGGTGTAACTATCACAAAGGGTATAGTATTCTTGTCACCAGATGAGTAAAAGAGGAAAAAGACTTTCCCAACAAGGACCAAACTAGCTAACTTTTCACCTGTTCCTAAAGTAGTACTCTTACTTACTGACCTGCATGGTAATCTATAATCTCCTTTGCCCCATCCCTTGAGTTCCTCAGCTCTCTCTTTTTTCTTCATTTCATCCCCTTTCTCCCTTCTTTCTTTCTACAAAAAAATACTACTATTCCTTCTCTACCCCCAAATTTTTAAGACTTAGTTGTCCAAAAGAAGTCTTTTTCTTGGGTGACAAATAAATATTATGAAAATAGTTTAGTATGATTGGGAAACTATATCTGAATTGTGGAAATAATTCAGTGGTAGAGCGCTTGCCCAGTCAGTATGTATGAGGTCTTAGGCTGAATTCTCAGAACTGGGGAAAAAAGAAGGAAGGATATCCAAAGTCACTTGATGCTTTTAAAAACTATATTAGCTGGCATCAGGTTTGGCTAGATGAAACAGAAAGTCTGAATGACATCAGTTTGTTTTTCCCATGAATAGAAGTCTGAGCTGGCAGTGTAACTCAGCAGTACAGTATGCATGTGCTTAGCATGTGTGAGGACGAGGTTCCCCACCACCAGCAAAAACAAAAGCCTTTATGTAGGCAGATAAA